CCGCCGCTCGCACGCGCGCCCTCCGCCGATCACCCCTTCCCCTCCCCCTTCCCCCTCCGGACACATCTGCACCCGTGCCTGCACCGCTGCTCGCCTCTCAGTGCGCTCCCGTGCGTAATCCCTTCGCCTGTATCGGCTCTCCTGGCGCGGCCTCTTCCTCTTTTCCGGCTGGCACACTTACCTCATGCGATTGTTGCGGTTGCTGCTGCTACTACTACTGCTGTTGCTGCTGCTGCTGCTGCTGCTGCTGCTGCTGTTATCACTGCTGTTGCCGCTGGACAGGCAACCATGTCTTTCGCGAACTCCCACGGGGCTGAGGAGTCCTCTTCGCACATGCTGCCGCCCGTCCCGCCGACTCGGCGGGCCACTAGCCTGCACACAAAGATCCTGGACTCGCCCATTCGCGTCATCAATAAGCTGCAAAACTTGACCATCAAGCCCAACGTCGACACCGGCGGGTTCGTGATCCTGCACCCTGCCATCCCTCGCCCCACCTAGACAGTGGCCCTCCCAGTGCTCATTGGCCTGACACCGCCCGCCCCCCCCTTCTCCCCCCGCACACACACACACACACACACACACACACGCACACACATGTAGTGTTCCCCTCACGCTGGAGGCCCTCTCCTGGTTCAACGAGATGCCCCATGAGCACCGCAACATTGCCTTCAGCAGTGTCGCCTGCCGGCAGATGCTTCACATCGACCGGTGCGCAGTCACTTCCTCGCCCTGTACTTCGCCCCGAGGGGGCCCAACCGCCCTGGCGCCTGCATACTCACGCTCTCCACATAGCTCCTCGCCCGACCCCCACCCTTTGGCGCACCTGGCCCTGCGTATCAACTCGCTCCATCTGCCTGATCGTGCGTATGCGCCACGCCTGCCCTCCATATGCCCTCCGTATGCCCCTCTGCTGACGCTGTGTCACACCTGCCCTGCCTTCCCTCCTCCTCCTCCTCCTCCGGCTGCCCTGCGCCACATTGGGTCCCAGTCGAAATGGAGAAGTTCTGGCTCGTCATGAACTCCGGCGGTGTGGTTCACTTCCTTCAAATTGACCAGACCCGGCAGCCGCCCTCGGACGACCTGCCGCCCCTGATGCCCGGGCAGTGCACCACCCCGCCCGGCGAGAAGTCGCGTGTCTTCTACTTGTACGAGCCCGGCCTTCCCCCCGGGCCTCTCTTTTCGCACTTGCCGCCGCCTCCCGCACGCGCTCGAGCCCCCTCCCGCCCCCCTCGCACTGCCGACTAATGCAACAACATTCCCCTTGCCGGGTGGTAACCACCCGACAGCCCTGTCGACTCGAAGATGAAGCTCCAGATCAATGTTTTCTCCGGTGAGGTTGCTCCCAACCGCCCACCTGTGCGCAGCGGCGCCGACACGCCCCCCCTGGTCGCGTCCGGCGACGTGTCCGACGATGGCACCCCCAAGACCGACAGCTCGCTCATTTGCTCTCTGATCGTGGCCGTACGTGCCTGCTGCTGCCGCCGCCGCCCCCGCCCCCGCCTCCATGGCCCGACTTCGGCCTTCTTTTTTTCCCCCCCGACCCCCGCCCACTCACTCACACGGCTATCACCATCCAGATCCCCGGCCATGATGTCGGCGCTAGCAATGCGGTCATGCCCCTGTCGGATGGGTCCTTCAGTGGCAATGCCCAGCGCAATCGCCTGCTTCGCTCGCTGATTCGCCCCTCGCCGGATCCCCGCACCAGCGGCCGGCAGCTGTCCATCACCATGGCCACCATGCAGATCCAGGGCTCCGGTGCCATGCTTGGCCGGTCGAACTCCTTCAGCCAGAACGACTCGCGCTCCGTCCGCCTGGAGGGTGTGCTCAACGCCTGCTTCGGCACTGTATGTTCTCTCCTCCTCCCTCTGTCTCTCTGCCTCTCTTTTTCTTGGCCCGCAAGCCCCCTCGCGCTATGCATTCCCACCTGCTTGACCAAGGACTTACCTCCCTTCCCCCTCTCTCTCTCTCTCTCTCCAACTCCGGGCCTTGTGATCTGCTGTTTGGTGCCGCCCCCGAGGGACAGCTCGGCCATGTGCACATGCCCAA